CTCTGCATGTTTTTGAATGTATTCAAGCATCCTTCAGGTCTGGTCCAGTCAGCATGAGGTTGCCCTCTCACATTTCAGCCTTGCGAAAATGCCCTGATGCAATGGTCAGTTCTGCGAGAAGAATCACTGCATCAGGCCTTGCTTCACTACATAATGTTTGGGACTTTTCTGGAGATGGTAGTTGTTTTGATTCATCTGGAATGTTGGATGGCCTGGAATGTATCGGAACCTTCAAACAGTACAGATACATGGAGAGATGTTGTGTAGTGGAGCGGTGTGGCAAAATGTATCTGGAGATTACCATTATTATTAGAGTTTCATCCGGAATGTTGGATGACCTGGAATGTATCGGAACCATCAAACAGTACAGATACATGGCGAGATGTTGTGTAGTGGAGCGGTGTGGCGAATTGTATCTGGAGATGACTAATATTATTAGAGAGGAAGAGGGAAACCAACGTCCAAATGTCCTTTGTGGGAACACAAAGCGCCCTCGTCATGACTAGTTTTGCAAAGTGGCCGTTACTGTCATGGTGAGGGGGTGTTGCGTCCGTTGCAAGGGACTTTTCGGAGTTTTCATACAGTGACGTGGCCCCTTTTTCCCTTTTTCTTTGCAGACGGAAATCTTTTCCAGGTGAGGGGTTGGGCGTGCCACCATGCCCCACCCCTCTGATGTTTATTTGTGAACCCCTATTTTGGCGGTGTCCATATGAAGTGTGTGTGCTGGATGCTGCACGTGCATGCCACGCGTGCATGAGGTGTGCCATGCGTGGAGTGTATTTTCTGGCCGGGATAGACATACCTTTGTTTCATGGGTGTTTTGCTGGCTCGCTGCGGGGAGTGAACCGGAATCTGTCGAGTTTTACCTCTGATGATGTTCACAATGAGATGGACACGACTTGCTGGAGGCAGCACCCACATTTGTACTCGAGCAGACACTTCGCGTCTGATCTATCGCCAGAGTGGAGCCAAAGGCGCAACGGGAAGCAGAAGCCTCTCTTATTTGACATTTAAGGCCGAAGGATGATTCATATATGAGAATTGACTCGACTCATGCTCGGTGAACTTTTCATCACACGTACCTTGAGGGCAGCGGTTGGTGCGCACCTCAGGGTGTCAGTTATTGAGCAGTCGTTAATGCTTAACTGTCATTGGGGCTAGGGTGAATAATCGCTCGCAGTATCATCGGTTTGGGGACCCTGCATACCGTAGAGGGTTCAGCCTCTCAATGAGTCTGTGAAACTCTGATGAAAGAGTCTGTCAAGGACCCTCATTGTGTCCTCTTCTCCCTCAGGGTGTCAGTTATTGAGCAGTCGTTAATGCTTAACTGTCATTGGGGTTCGGGTGAATTATCGCTCACAGTATCATCGGTTTGGGGACCTTGCATACCGTAGAGGGTTCAGCCTCTCAATGAGTCTGTGAAACTCTGATGAAAGAGTCTGTCAAGGACCCTCATGTGGTGTCCTCTTCTCCCTCTCTGTCTACGGCTCACTGATCAGTTCCCTATGCCGATCTGTATAACTCTGCAGACTGTAGAGGGTTCAGCCTCCTGATGAGTCGGTGAAACTCCGATGTCATAGCCCTTCATTTGCTATCCTGCGGCTCACTCGGCAGTTCTCTATGATATATAATATACAACACGATCTTGGTGATCTGCAAATTGTTGGCCAGCATCCAACAAACCAGTCTGAGAACCTGTGTGGTCTGATGGCAACTAATATGTCTTCACATTCTCCGCCGCCCGTTTTATACACCATCAGGCTTCCTTGCAATCGCCCTTCAGCTTGATGCTGATCTTCCCCAAATACAGCCAGAGGATTGTAATTATACCAGCGAAGGAGGCTTTATCATTGCTGTCCTACAAGTAGCACTCAAGGATCGTCAACTTGAACTACGCAATGCTCGAGCAGGTGAGTGGTTTAATCCTCCATCCCACATATCTGCCTGCAATGTGCACGGGCCTGGCCATTCCATGGCCATTGTACATGCCTCTGACCACTGGGAGCTGTGGGACAACGGCACCATGGTCCATGCCATGACTGATGTCACCGATTTCTTACAAAATGATGCTGTTTTCACAACAAACGGTCCGCAAGCTCTTTTATGTCGAAGATCATTCCTCTTGCCCCGAGCTGCAGCAAGACAATGTACCAACACTCTGCGACCTTCTCCTTTGCACAGCTACAGACGCTGTTACACTCAGCTGTAGCTGCCATCGTCTCTGTCACAATCACTACAGGGACATGGTTTCTCCATCCATGTGTGCAGAGGACTGTCCCTCCATTCCTGACTGCAGGCACCCTCCCCATCCGGACACTATATGTCCATTTTGCGGCCATCGGCGCTATGCTGAGTGCATGGTCTTTTGTGGTGACCGTTCGTCCTTCATTTTGGCCGGCAAACAACATGCCATTTGTTGGGGGTGTATGGTGGGCATGCTCAATGCCAGCCGTCGTGGCAATTGTTGCACTGAGAATGCTCAGCTAGGTCTTTCATGCGTTCGTCCACCTCGTCCTTACAATTTATGTCCTCTCTGTCGTCAAGGACAGAGAGGGTCATTATGGTATACTCTTTTGCCTTTAGCTTCTCTCCACACTCCGTCGTTATGGTATACTCTTTTGCCCTTAGCTTTTCTCCACACTCCGTACTGCCTCTTACTTTCCCTTTACCGTTCTTTGTTTGTCTGCTGTCCATCTCTCCTCCCTGTGTTTATCCCCTCCCCATTCACTCTGCCTCTTTCTCATGGCGTACAAGTGGGCTGTTATGGTGCACGTGGATGGGGGCAGCTCGCACTCAACTTCGTCAACGTGGCGAGCCTTGTACGTGAGAGGCACGGTGAAGGGGGAGTTAAAAGAAGAATCAGAAAAATGAATGGTTTCAGTGTGCCCTTCATGTTTGTTTTGTTTTTTAATTTTTAATTTTTGCCGTCTGTTTTGCAAAGTGCGCTCTTTTAGTTCATAGTTATGTGACAATATATATGAGGCAGTGGTTGGTGCCCACCTCAGGGTATCAGTTGTCGGGACACTGAACCACAACCCGCGTTAAGGTAGATTATCACTTATGGTGTAACCGGTTAGGGGATTCTGCAGACTGTTGAGGGTTCGGCCTCCTGATGAGTCGGTGAAATTGTTTGTTGTCCTCTACTTTCTCAAGGACTTTGATATCACCCTGCTACGGTTTTCTCCAGTCTGGTTGAGCTTCTGTGGTTGGGGCCGTCACTACGCGGCCATGCTGTGCCTCTAGCTCCAGCTGGACTGTATTTTTTGGCTGTGATAGACCTTTCTTTGTTTCGTTGGTGTTTTGCTGGCTTGTGATGGGGTGTGAACCGTGCCAGCTAGAGTTTTCCATCTGGTGTGGGTGGGTGATAGTCTGCGTTGATTTTTGTCACAGGTACCAGTTGTCGGGCAGTTGTTGATGCTTAACCGCAACAGGGGTTAAGGTGGATTATCACTTACGGTGTAACCGATTAGGTGATTCTGCAGACTGTTGAGTGTTCAGCCTCCTGACGAGTCAGTTAAACTCGGATGAAACAGTCTGTCACAGACCCTTGTTTGTTATCATTGTCTCCCTCTCTGCGTACGGTTTACCAGGCAGGTCTGGTTGACGATATATATATATATTATATATATGCATATGCATATTTGTTGATATACAATTTATATACTGTCCAGTAAACCGTAGGCAGTTGTCGTCATTTGTTATACGAGTCCAACGTCCAACATCCCTTCCCATCAACCGGCTGGTGTGCTCACTGAGAAGTTGACCAGATTGGAGCAAATGTAAACGGGAACTGCAGTGTTGGATAGCGCTTGTACCTTTTAAGGTATCGAACTACGGGTCTGCTTGACGGCTCTTTTCACATGTTTGTCTTTGATAATGTGGCCGCCTGGGACTTGTCGTTCGTTATACGAGTCCAACGTCCAACATCCCTTCCCATTAACCGGCTGGTGTGTGTTCACTGAGAAGTTGGCCAGGTTGGAGCAAATGTAACAATTTGAGTGACGTTCAAACTGCAGCAACCACACTTTTTCACCGAATGCTGTCATGTGGGCCTCTCCCGTTCAACCCTCGCCAATGGCGGGTTAGTTGTTGAGTAGCGACTTGCATCAGTGATGCAATGATGGCCCCGCTGTCTCCAGCATGGGCTCAGTGAAATTGAGTTCTCCATGAAGATGCGGAGTACCAGTGACTAGATGGTAAGAGCCCATGCACCTTTACTACAGGTTTGCATTGACAACTTTACAGTAGAGGTGTCATCATTGGCTACCAAGCTTGAAATACCACCCTTGCGTGCAGGGGTATCCGACTGCCGAAACAACTGGTTTGGTACAGCCTTGCATGGTGGGTAGTTCGCATGCCTTACCTGGGGGCCTTATGGAGGACCCGGCCAGCTAATGTTTACGGAAAATCCGGCTATAAGTATTGCACCAAAATAATGACTTGCCAGTCCCTCCTATCTCCTCTAGCGTGAATGCTAGTTCTGCTGTGCTAATCTCAAGAGCTAACTCTGTCATAGCTCCAGCAGCCTGCCGGAGGGCTGGTGGTTTTACCGGGTTCTACTGGTCTTTGTTCAGGACCGTCCTGTCTATTTACAACTGGAAGCAGGCCCAACCGAGCATCCACGCCTACCATCTGATGCAGCGAGTTCTATTGGGTCTCAGATGGGAGTACTGGGTCTCACCCGAACATCCTGGAAGATTTTTGTACAAGCGCCAGGTCTTGGAGTGCCCAATGACGTGTATGCCACCATACCAAACGGCACTATCCCAGAACAGACAACTGGCATTGTACACAAATTGGGGAAACAAATTCCTGTGATGAAGCTGATTGTGCGAGAGTGTGGGTGGGCTAGTGGAGTCTACATTGAAGCTTTTGCAGGGGTGCACTGGGGAGGTGGTTATTGCTTATGACTTAATCGTTTTCTGTGGCTTCGCGTTTCCCTCCCCCACTCGCTGTCTTTCCTGTGATTTTGCTTTCGTCCTTCATTCTGGCCAATGCAGCGGAGCGTGCGATGGAAGCCCTCAATTATACTGCCCTTAATAGTAAACCGGTCCGAATAATGTGGTCCCATCGGGATCCTAGTACTCGGAAGAGTGGTGTCGGCAATATCTTCATAAAGGTGAGCTCAGAAAGTGATCTCCTGAATCACAATTCACAGAAAAAACATTCAAGTCAATGTTCATGTTCTTTATGGTGGGGCATACTTTGTGAAGCTTTTGTCATTCTAAGTGTTCTCTAGTACATCCATCAGATAGTCAGGGGTGCAGGGGTGATTACGTCTGTGTTGCTTTGGAGGAGTTGGCGTGCCCTGTCGTCGTAATTAGCAGGTGTGTTATGCATGCTACTACCAGCTACACTCTTCCTGTTTCCTCATGGGAGTGCACGTTTTTCTGCAGCAAGGTGTGTTGTGTAATGGTGCTTGTTTCTGGTGGATGAATTGCTTCAACAATTCGGTATTGCGGCATTCGAGATTTGAAATCCCAGAATGCGAAGTAGTAAAATTCTATAGATGGAGTGAAGCCTTGGGTTGTGACTCTTGAACTCGTGAGGCTTGTTGAGGTGCGACTCCTGCAACTCAGAAAGTATGGACAAATGTCCTTCCTTCTCTGACTGATACCAACGAGCCCAGGTCAGTCGGTACACCCATGGACTGTTGAAATACAGACCCATGTTCGAGTCCAGACACAATCAGATGGCCAGAGCACAATGATTCTGAATTACCTGTGGCCAGTCAGTTCAAGGATGATATCTGAAGACCGCTACCCTTCAAAAGAAAAGAAAAGAAAAAATAGGGGCGAGTCATGATCCCGGGCCGCCCGCGGTCATATCGGCCCGACGGTCCTGATTTTCGAATGATCTTAAGACTTTAAACCACCAGTTCCTTGCCCTGCTTGAGAAAAACCACACGGCCGTATACGCGCTGCGTCGGGCAGGGTACCCACCGGGGTGCGACCGGTAGCCCACAAAAAGCGGGTAAAAAGAAAAAGGAAAAAAAAAAGAATAAATAAAAAAACGAAACAAAACAGACCACGAAATCAAACAGACGGGCATGCGGGAAGGAGGAAGAAAGAGAGAGAGAGAGGGAGAGAGAGAGAGAGAGAGAGAGAGAGAGAGAGAGAGAGATCAATTACACCTCGCTCTCTCCCTCTCTCTCTCTCATGAAATGAGAACGAATCTTTTTGCGATAAGGCGGAAGATTCATTCTTATTTCATCAGAGAGAGAGAGAGAGAGAGAGAGAGAGAGAGGGAGAGAGAGTGCGTCAGCCAGTGCCTGACGCCGAGTTTGGTGCACCAAACTTGGCGTCAGGCACTGGCTGACGCACTCTCTCTCCCTCTCTCTCTCTCTCTCTGATGAAATAAGAATGAATCCATTCTCATTTCATGAGAGAGAGAGAGAGAGGTTGTCGTTGAAATGAGAATGAATCTTCCGCGTTATCGTGGAAGATTCATTCCCATTTATAACGTGGAAGATTCATTCTCATTTCAACGTACAGACACAGAGAGAGAGAGAGAGAGAGAGAGAGAGAGAGAGAGAGAGAGAGAGAGAGAGAGAGAGAGAGAGAGGGTGTCAGCCAGTGTCTGATGCCCTCTCTCTCTCTCTCATGAATCTGAAGATTCATTCTGGATGGAAACGTCTGAATCGTGATTTTGTTTTTTTTTTTTCTCAAATTGTTGTCCTCGTTTTTTTTTTGTTTTTTTCTTTTCTTTCTTTTTTGCTGTTGTGTACTACCGGTTGTCCGAGGCTCGGCAATGACCGGCCTACCGGTAGCCTGAGCCACGGGCCTTGACAACCGGTAGGTACTGGTGGTTTAAGACTTTAAACCACCAGTACCTCCGAGCCTGTTTTTGCTGACTCTGAATTTCACTGCGCTCCGAGTTTGCCGAGTGTGGGTCCATGAAGAAATGCAGAGGTACTGCCTGAATTTCACTGCGCACAATCTTAAACCACCAGTACCTCTGAATTGCTTCATGCATACGGCCTGAATTTCACTGCGCTCCAAGTTTGCCGAGCCTGGGTCCCACTCCATTTCTTCATGGTACTCTCACGGATAGAAAAAAAGAAAAGAATAATGAAAAGAAAAGTTGCGGTCGTGAAACTCACAAAAAAAGAGAAGGAAACAATGATCTGGCCGTGATTGCAGTTGTATGCATTTTTGGAAGTGGTAGTGTGAGGGTGCCCTCAGTGAGGGCATCTCAGCCCCGTGGCCATGTTGTCAGATTCCAGAAACAAACACACACGAAAAAAAACAGAAACAAGGATTCGGCCGTGAAAATGGCTGGATACGTTCTTCTAAGTTCCAGTGTGATGAGGGTTACAATCCTCTGAGGGAACACAGCTCGAGCAGATCACGGATTCAGATTGTGAGATTCCATAAACGGAAAAAATGAAAAAACGAACGTTAACATGGATTTGGCCGTGAAAATGGCTGGATACATCAGGGTTGCAATCCTCAGAGGAAACACAGCTAGTGCAAATCGCGAATTCACCCTGCCTCGCTGGCAGGGGACTCGTAGCAAACAAACGAGAAATAGAAAAAAGCAAACAACAAATTTCAGAATGTGACCGTATTTGCTGTAGGATGCGTTCTGTAGAGGAAGACTGTGAGCACGGCCTCCTAGACTACCCTGCCTGACATCATTGCAGTGCAGAAGCTTTTTTTTTTTTTTCCTTTCCTTTTCACTCGCGGGCAAAAGAAAACTAAGATTCATGGAACTCGTCGAGTCTGGGTCCCACCACCAATTTCTTCGGGGACAGACCAGTACATTGTAATTTCCCAACATCGGCAGAGGTACTGGTGGTTTAAGATTGTGCGACCAACCAGTCCGTACGCCAGGTCGGGCGGTCTGGATTGTTGCGTGATCTTAAAGTCATAAGATCGAATGATGATCTGAAACGTCGAGCCGGCCGACGGTCGGGATCAACGCGCCCGTTGGAAAGAGGACCTGTACGGTATGTACTCGGAAAAACTGCCGGGCCTAACGCCCAGTGCCTGTTGGGCATTGGCCCGCTGATGGGCCGTTGAGTTCAGGGCCTGGCCATACTCTATGCGTGACCCCCTGACAATCTCTATAGGATGCGCTGCATCGTAACGAAGATGACAAATGCCTTACGTGAACAGACTCCTCTAGGCACTGAATGGTATGGTCCTACAGTGCGGCTGACGCACATGGTCACGTACATACCCACGCATGTACGCACTTGCATTCTGGACACACGCATGCCCACACATGTATACACTTGCATCCTGGACACACACATGCCCACACATGTATGCACTTGCATCCTGGGCAGACTGTCAAGGTTCAACCTGCTGATGAGTCTGTGTAAGTCTGGCGAAACAGTGTCATTCTTCCTTTTGCGGTGTTATGTATGGCGAATGCGACAACACTCATGTGCACGCACACGAACATGCGCATGCACACACACACCAGCGCACAGCACACACACACCGGCGCACAGGCACACATCAGTGCACACACACACCCATCCACGTGCACACACACACAGCAGAGAGAGAGAGAGAGAGAGTGACCACACTGAGAGTGACCACACTGGCTGATCACGATGATGCTGGAGAGAGAGAGAGAGAGAGAGAGAGAGAGAGAGAGAGAGAGAAAGAATGACCACTCTGGCTGATCAAGATCACGTTAATGCTGAAGATAAATAGATAGATAGATAGATAGATAGATAGATAGATAGAGAGAGAGAGAGAGAGAATGACCACACTGGCTGATCAAGATCACGATGATGCTGAAGATAGAGAGAGAGAGAGAGAGAGAGAGAGAGAGAGAGAGAGAGAGAGAGAGAATGACCACACTGGCTGATCAAGATCATGATGATGCTGAAGATATGGAGCATGATATATGACATGGTAAGAGAGATCAGGAGAACTGTAGGAACATTATGTTGCTGACAGCAGGAAGTCGGATCGGGAAGGGGTAGAAACAGGTTATGGTGTTTGTTTTTTTTCTTATCGGCTCTGATCGGGAAATGGAGAAGAGACAGGGCTCCATTGTGAAGAAATGGAGAGGGAAAGAGGGTACATGAAGATAGGACATGGTGATGCGATTAGGTCCTGTATGACAAGTGATGCGATTAGGTCCTGTATGACTAGTGCGAAAGCGGAGGGAAAAGACTTTGGAGGGACAACATGACGTGAAAGACTCTGGATCGGAATGCAATGGCGAGGAGAGGAGAATGGGAGTCACGATCAGGGAAAAGGAGGATGGGTGTGGCAGTTGTTGGGGATCATCAGTTGAGGGAAGGGAGAGGGTAAAGAAGAGGGGGAGGATGGGTGCACCAGTTGAGGGACATGAATATTGGACATGGTGATCTGATTAGGTCCTGTATGACTAGGTTGAAAGCGGAGGGAAAAGTCTTTGGAGGGACAACATGACGTGAAAGACTCTGGATCGGAATGCAATGGTGAGGGAGAGGAGAATACGGGGGAGTCACGAATAGGGGGGGAGTCACAATCAGGGAAAAGGAGGATCGCTACACTTATAAAGTTCCTAATGTGAGAATTTTTGGATCCGGGCCGTCTGCGGACCTACTGGCCCGACGGCTCGGATTGCCCTGCGATCTTAAGATTTTAAGATCTCATGGCTATTCGTTCGCGGGGCCTGATGGCCTGGATTGCCCTGAGATCTTAAAACTTCAAAATCGCGGGGCAGTCGGGGCCATCGGGCCGGTACCGGTTGGCCAATGGGCCAGATTAGAAGTTCATGCGCAACCGAGTTAGGGCTGCCAGGTGTGGGGAGAAACCGGTTCCAGGCAGGACGGTCTCCTATAGGGCGCAGCGGTTGGGTGCCGGTCTCCCCCCTGCATATCTTCGGCGGCATATAGCGAAGGAGACAACATGCACTCACACAGCCGCCCACCCACCCTCTTGAACAAGCACGTACGAGACGCCCGACCGACCGCATGAACAAGCACATGCACAAACACACTGCATCCATGCACTCACGCATGCACATGCACAAACACACCCATGAACACACACGCACAAACACCCCCATGAACACACACACATGCACGCATACACGCATACGCACAAACACTGAAACACGCGCACAAAGACACACAAACACACCCACATGCACGCACGCAAATGCATC